TCCAAGAATATCTAAGGATATCCAAACATATTCAAGCCAAACGTTTTGGGATGTGGGCTGATATTCGGGACTGGTCCTGGGATGGAAAGCGCGCCGCCTGGTCGACCGGCTCCCCCTCGGGTAACCAATGCAAGCTGTAGGGTGCGACGCGTATGCTTTGCTGTCGATTGCAAATGGTGGGCCCAAACCTGGCGCGCTGAGATGCGAGCGTAATCACACGATGCGGGTGCCGACGCGAGGCCAAACTCATTCCACAGGAAAAATCACCCGGCCCCCTTTGGGCCAGCGTCAAAGGTCACTCTTGCGAAGGGTCACTCTTGCGTGTAGTCCAGACCTGCCGCAGGCAGCTGGATGTTATACTATGCGCTGGGAACCGCAAGCGGCGACACAAACCTTGTAGTAGTAGAATGCATGGTTTGGGGGACGTTCCCAGGCCTACACATTATTCATAAGGCAACGCTGGCGGACGCTCAGCGCGGTCGAAGCAGCAAACCGGGCTACGGGATCGCGAAGTGAACACAAGAGGCGAAGCAAAGTAAGGTTTCGGACGCGCCATCGCCGCTTGGGATGAACCGCTGGCTTTCGAGGCCTCCAGTGGCCACAACTAGCTCCAGCCAGCCAATCAACCACAGCCAGCCACAACCAGCCACGATCGGGAACACACGCCGTCTGAGACAAAATGCTGGTGTCCGATGCCTCGGGCCCACCCACAACCAGCCACGATCTGGGATTCGCCATCTGGGGCGAAGCACTCGTTCTCAAAGCCTCAAGAGGCCCAGCTCACAGAAAAAAAAACATATTGTTGGAGCCTTACGTGGCCCACGCATCGTAAAATGATGCGGTTGTGAAGCCCCAGGCGGTCAAAGCACTGCAAAACACGTGGATGCCAGAGAATCAGGTGGCTCTGGCGTGGTGAACTACTGAGCCTTCGACATCCCAACGGCCAAGCACATTACAAAGCAAGGTATTCGCGCCCAAAGCTCTCCCAGCATTTGTTGTTGCATGAGTTTCGCATCCTCGTCCTTCCGATCTTCAGGGAGGGGCCAAAAGAGGACCCCGTTGGCCCCAAGAGCAGCCCCAAAAAAGGAACTCGAACTGACTCTGGAGCCATCCAATCCAAGATTGCCCCCGAGACCTCCGGCAAAACCCTCAGAGGCGCCCAAAAATCCCCGAGAAGGCCCCAAGAAGCCTCCGAGAGGCCCCCGACAAAGCCCCAAAGAGGCCTCCAGGAGGCCCCCACGAGGCGTGTCAAGAGATCCCAAAAGACCTTTCAGAGGGCTCGTGTCCAAGGCCCAGGCACGGTGGCGAGATGTGCCGAAGGATCCGAGCACGGTGGCGATGTCGAAGCCTCTGGCGGCAGGGGTCAGGGCGCACGGGCAGCTGGGGGGAAGGGCGGGGAGGAGAAGAGGGAGGCAGGAATGGAAGATGGAGAGGAAGGAGGGCGGAAAGAGAGGCAGAGTGGAAGGGAAAAGGAGGGCGAGGAGAAAGTGAAAGGGGGGTGGGAGCGAGACAAGGCGAGGCGACAAGAAGGGGTGGAGTGGAGAGATGAGGGACGAGGGAGTGGAAAGAGCAGAAAGGGTGACGAGCGAGGAGGCGGAGGTGGAGGATGACAAGGATGAGGAGCAGGATCAGGACGAGGAGGACGAGGAGGCAGAACAACCCTGCTTCGATCGGAGCGACGCTCTTGGGAAACCTCCCACCATCTTCGGTTGACCGAAACCCGTGCTTGGCCGCAACAAAATGTTCCTTGGAAACGCGCAAGACCTCAAGAGGACCTAAACCGATACCAAGGCGGCCCCGCGACCCCAGTGCGTTTCTAAGATGGCCCCCAAGCACTAAACGACCCGACGACGCGGCAGCTTCTTGTCGCGACGACCTCGGCGTTGATTTCCGACACCGCGTGGTTCGTTCAACCTCGAACGATCTGCGCTTCCCGATCGCCATATTGGCCGATGCCACTGGCGGCGTTTAACCTTGAACGCCCGCGGCGGGGGCACCGCGGCGTCGACGCGACGCGCTCTATGCGCTCAGGGCGATCCCCAAAGGGCCCAGTGATGCGCGCATGATCTCGATGTGGCTTCCAGCAGGCCGCTGGGCAACCCCAAGGCGGCCCAACAGACATGCAACGGGCGATCAAGAGATGTCGCAATGACCACGCGATGGCCCCCAGGCGGGCCCAACGTGGCCAAATCAATACCAGAACACGACACCATGACCCCGGCATGGCCCTGATGCGCTCTCAACAGTTCCCCAAGACAACGCCAATACGACAACAAACTGCGGGATTGGCATCCTGCCTGGGACATATGGAAACCACATTCCTTTATGCGTGCACTTATTTCCTGCGTCAAAGTTATATCATTCGACTCCATAAGGGAGCGGGATCCCTGCCAGACCACGCAAGACGAGCGTCTTGCTACATAGGCTTCTGGGGGGGTCGGGGGGGCACAATGCCTCCTGACCCCCCGTCCCCCTCAGAGCTGCCGTCGCGGTGAGCTCGTGTCTGTGAACAAGATGTGCATCCGGGCGCACTCACAATTAGCCTGACGAAGGACCCAACCATATGCAGCTGCGAGTGCCGCATTGTAGGTACCGCTTTCGGTGGAGCTCCCTATGGGGCCACAAAACGTGCGAAGGGTACGCCGAAATTGGTGGCGCGGACGCATGTGGGCACTGCCACTGGGCTTTCGGTTGGGCTCCCTATGGGGCCACGAAACGTTGTCCTGGGTGGCGTTGACGCATGCAGATCCTGCCGCTGGAGCCTTCGGTGGAGCTCCGTATGGGGCCACGGAGCGCTGTCATGGGCGGGGGAGACGCATGCGAACTGCGCAATTGGGACCTTCGGTGGAGCTCCCTTATGGGGCCACGAAGCGCTGTCCTGAGCGGGGACGCATGCGAGCGGCGCCAATGGGACCTTCGCTGGAGCTCCCTATGGGGCCATGAAACGCTGTCCTGGGTGGCGCTAACGCATGCGAACGGTGCCACTGGGGCCTTCGGTAGAGCTCCCTATAGGGCCTCGAAGCGCTGTCCTGGGTGGCGTTGACGCATGCGGACCTGGGGCCACGAAGCGCTGTCCTGGGTGGCGATGACGCATGCAGACCCTGCCACTGGAGCCTTCGGTGGAGCTCCGTATGAGGCCACGCAACGCTGTCCTGGGTGGCGTTGACGCATGCGGGCCCTGCCACTGGAGCCTTCGGTGGAGCTGCCCGTGGGGCCACGAAGCGCTGTCCTGGGTGGCGTTGACGCGCGCGGACCCTGCCACTGGAGCCGTCGGTGGAGCTCCCGATGGGGCCGCGAAGCGCTGTTTTGGGTGGCGTTGACGCATGCGGGCCCTGTCACTGGAGCATTCGGTGGAGCGGCCTGTGGGGCAACTAAACGCTCTCCTGGGTGGCGTTGACGCATGCGGGCCCTGTCACTGGAGCATTCGGTGGAGCGGCCTGTGGGGCCACGCAACGCTGTCCTGCGCAGCGCTGACGCATGCGGGCCCTGCCACTGGGGCCTTCGGTGGAGCTCCCTATGGGGCCTCGAAGGGCTGTCCTGGGTGGCGTTAACGCATGCGGACCCTACCATTGGGGCCTTCGGTGGAGCTCCCTATGGGGCCACGAAGCGCTGTCCTGGGTGGCGTTGACGCATGCGGACCCTGCCACTGAAGGCTTCGGCGGAGCTCCCTATGGGGAAGCGCCGTCCTGGGTGGCGTTGACGCATGCGGACCCTGCCACTGGAGCCTTCGGTGGAGCTGCCTATGGGGCTACGAAACGCTGTCCTGGGTAGCGCTGACGCATGCGGACCCTGCCACTGGAGCCTTCGGTGGAGCTCCCGATGGGGCCTCGAAATGCTGTCCTGGGTGGCGTTGACGCATGCGGGCCCTGCCACTGGAGCCTTCGGTGGAGCTGCCCGTGGGGCCACGAAGCGCTGTCCTGGGTGGCGTTGACGCATGCGGGCCCTGCCACTGGAGCCTTCGGTGGAGTTCCCTATGGGGCCGCGAAGCGCTGATTTGGGTGGCGTTGACACATGCGGACCCTGCCTCTGAAGCCTTCGGTGGAGCTCCTTATGGGGCCACTAAACGCTGTCTTGGGTGGCGTTGACGCATGCGGACCCTGCCACTGGAGCCGTCGGTGGAGCTCCCTATGGGGCCTCGAAGCGCTGTCCTGGGTGGCGTTGACGCATGCGGGCCCTGTCACTGGAGCATTCGGTGGAGCGGCCTGTGGGGCCACGCAACGCTGTCCTGGGTAGCGCTGACGCATGCGGGCCCTGCCACTGGAGCCTTCGGTAGAGCTCCCTATGGGGCCACGAAACGTTGTCCTGGGTGGCGTTGACGCATGCGGACCCTGCCACTGGAGCCGTCGGTGGAGCTCCATATGGGGCCTCGAAGCGCTGTTATGGGTGGCGTTGACGCATGCGGACCCTGCCACTGGTGCCTTCGGTGGAGCTCCCTATGGGACCACGAAACGCTGTCGTGGGTGGCTTTGACGCATGCGGACCCTGCCACTGGAGCCGTCGGTGGAGCTCCCTATGGGGCCACGAAGCGCTGTCCTGGGTGGCGTTGACGCATGCGGACCCTGTCACTGGAGCATTCGGTGGAGCTGCCTGTGGGGCCACGAAACGCTGTCCTGAGCGGGGACGCATGCGGACCCTGCCACTGGAGCCTTCGGTGGAGCTCCTTATGGGGCCACGAAACGCTGTCTTGGTGACGCCTTCGGACCCTGTCACTGGAGCATTCGGTGGAGCGGCCTGTGGGGCCACTAAACGCTCTCCTGGGTGGCGTTGACGCATGCGGACCCTGTCACTGGAGCCTTCGGTGGAGCTCCCTATGGGACCACGAAACGCTGTCCTGGGTGGGTGAAACGCAGGGAGGTGACGAGGCGGATGGGGCGAGGGAGGAGGGGGCGGAGGAGGAGGGAGAGGAGGAGGAGAGGAGAGGAGGGACGCGGGGCGCTGTCTCTTCAAAACGAGGGGAAAGATCCAGGAACTCTCGGGGCGGCGATGCCCCCCTGCGATGCCTCCTCCTGGTCGTCCGACTGGTCTGCGGGCGCGGCCAGCCCTGCAGCCCACTGGGGCCGGCAGCTGCCGTCGCCGTCGCGGCCCAGCGCCTCGAGGGGCACGTAGTACCAGTACTCCTGCCGGCAGCGGGGCGGGGGAGGGGCGGAGACAGGGGCGGCTCGGAAGCTGTCCTCTGGCACCGTCTGTGCACACGCACACGCGCACACAGGCACGCACGCACGCACCCCTCGCACACACACACACACACACACACACACACACACACACACACACACACACGCACGCACGCACGCACGCACGCACGCACGCACGCACGCACGCACGCACGCACGCACGCACGCACGCACGCACGCACGCACGCACGCACGCACGCACGCACGCACGCACGCACGCACGCACGCACGCACGCACGCACCCGCACACAGGCACCCGCGCACGCACGCACGCACGCACGCACGCACCCGCGCACGCACTTTTCGGTCGTCGCGGGCGGGAGCGCCTCCTCGCCGGCAAACGCCCGCGCGGCGAGCCGCGCACGCGCCCAGTGGTCGGCACCTAACGAGGCGGCGGCAGCAGAAGTAAGTCAGGCCGGCGGAGCGACGACCTGGCTGGCGAGAAACTCGCGCGGTGCCGCGCCAACACACACACACACACACCTACACTTTGCGGCACCGTTGGGAGTAACGGGCCAGGCCACGCTCAGTCGAATTGCACCTGACGTGGCAGGCGGGTGGACTGCAGTCACCCGCACAAACGCAAACGCTCTTGTTGTTGTTGCTGGCGAGCCCACCGTAGCGCAGGTGGGGAATGTCGGCATGCGCGGGCCCTGCGACAAACCACAGGGAACGAACGCCACCCCCCACAATTGGATGTGTGGGAAGACCTCTAACCGTCAGTAGACCCGTAAACAAGACAGGTAACCATGCTGACGGGATAGGCGCATCCCAGGCTGCACTAACACAATACACCACAAGACCGCAGCAAACCGACGTCCAGCCGCAGCCCGCATGCCGAAGAGAGAGCAGAGCACGCAGCATATCAGCTGACGAAGCCCAGCCCGATGGACTCGAGACAGTGCAGCAGCAGGTACCTATCAAGGACATGCGAGCAAAGATATGCCAATCATACGCACGGCTGCGACAGCCCAGCAGGAGCAGCGCGTGGCGGGTCCCGGAAGCCCTGGACCCAAAAACCGTTGACATTTCTTGAGGGTGCCCCTTCTACTTCCGCCGCCTCCCCCCGAGCTTTCGCAGGCTTCCGCCGGCGCAGCGTCCCCTCGTCTCTTTTCTCCGCCGTCTTTCGCCGGCCTTCCGCCGCCTTCCGCCGAGGAAGCGATGCTAACCTCCCGAACAATGGACAGTGAGGGCTTTTCTGGAGCGCGGCACGTCGCAAATGCCTCAAATAGGGTCCGAGTCGGTGGGGTCCCAGGATCGCACTGCATCTCCGACACAGCGCCGATATATACACATACACACATATATATATGTATATAAATACACATATGTATATATGTATGTATACTTACATGCATATACATACATATATATGTGTATACAAACATGTATGTGTGTATATATATACATATATATATATATATATATAGATGCATCGCTTATGCATCGGCGACGTCGGTGATGCATCGGCGACGCTGGCGCGGATACAATCGGGCTCCACATCGAGCCGCGTTGCCGATGCATCGGCGATGCGGCGCGATCTGGGAGGCCTAGAAGAAGCCTGGAAGAACCATCTGGGAGGCCTACAAGAACCCGTCCACCGAGACCCACTCGGGAGACCTAGACGAACCAGACTCCACCAGCGATGCCCGGACCCCATCTGGGAGGCCCAGAAGAACCAGACTCCACCGCCGAACGCCACGCACAGAGCTCTCCGACCAGCGCGCGTTCGCCCAGCGACAACGCGGCTCTTGTGTGTTTGCTCGGACCGCGGGACAGGCCGACACGGAGAGGCGGGCAGGGCAAAGCCCGAGGAGCGCAGCGAGGATGCCAGAGCCGAGAGGAAGCAGGGGGAGGGTAGGGGGGGAGAGATGAGATGAGGAGAAGGAGGAGGAGGAGGAGGAGGAGGAGGAAAGACTCATCAATGATATTGGAATAAACCCTCCCCCCAAGCTCCCTCTTCAGAGGCCCCTGAAAAGGGTTCATGTCCACTGAAGGAAGAGCTCCGTTGGGAGACCACCGGCTGCAGCTCCTGAAGCGTGCCAAACCAGAATTCTCGGGACTCCAACGCCGCGAATGAACCTGACAGTTGCGTCTGGACGATCCTGAATCGAACCCGAACACCGTTCCTGGGACTTCAACACCGCGAATCAGCGTAATTGTTGCGCCCTGGCGATCCAGAATCGCTACTCCAAAACACCTTTTCTGGTACTAGTAGGGTGCCACGGGAATCCGTGAAACTCTTGCACAGGATGAAGACGAATGTGCACGGCGCTAACGCGAGAGCCACATTTTGAAAAGGAGCCGCCCTCAATCCGCGAAACCCTTGCAACTTTTTGAATCGAATGTGCGCGGCGCTACGGCGAGAGCCACATGTTGAAAACGATCCGCCAGCAATCCGTGAAGCTCTTGCAATGTTTTACAACAATTGTGCGCAGCGCCGAGGCGAGAGTCACATTTTCAAAACGACCTGCCCTCAATCCGCGAAACTGTTGTCAATGTTAAGCTTGCTTCAGGGTCATAACTGGCGAGGAAGTCTTAGGCGAAACGCCTGGCCCGCCCTTTCGACCATCCTCGGGGGGCGACAAGGAAGAGCTGTTATTCACAAGGAACAAGAATGGAGGGGGGAGACGGAGGAGGGGAACGGACGCCGGCTTGCTCTTCTAGGGGAGGGGGCGACGACCCACGGGGCTGGCCGAGAGGGCCGAGAGGGAGAAGCACGGCCGAGGAGAAGAGGGGGGCTCACAGCGCCACAGGAGGAGAGCGGAGTGCAAGGAAAGAAGAGAGGGCGGAAAGAAGCGATCGGCTGCACGCAGGAGTGACCCTGGGGAAACGTGACCTCTGGTGCGCGGCCTTTTGGGGGGGCCGCGGGGGGACCGAACACGAGCGCGCGAGACGGTGCTATCGCATCGAGGTCGGCGGTCAGACGACCCCAAAAGGTCACTCCCGCACCAAAAGGACACCAAAAGGTCACTCCCAATGAGCCCGCACCAAAAGGTCACTCCCAATGGGCCCGCACCAAAAGGTCACTCCCGCGAGGGGTCACTCTCACGCGCAGTCGAAAGAGGAGGGGCCGACGCGCCGAGCTCCAGGCGCGAGGGCGAGCACACGAGGGCCCGAGGCGGGGCCGCCGAGGCGACGGAGCCCAGGGGAGGAAGAGGAGGAGGAGGAGGAGGAGGAGGAGGAGGAGGAGGAGGAGGAGGAAGGAGGAGGAGGAGAGGAGGGAGGAGGAGGAGGGGGGAGGAGGGGGAGGAGGAGGAGGAGGAGGAGGAGGGGAGGAGGAGGAGGAGGAGAGGAGGAGGAGGAGGGAGGAAGAAGGGTCACTCTCACGCGCAGTCGAGGAGGAGGGGCCGACGCGCCGAGCGCAGGGCGCGAGCGCGAGCACGCGAGGGCCGAGGCGCGGCCGCCGAGGCGACGGAGCCCGGGGAGGAAGAGGAGGAGGAGGAGGAGGAGGAGGAAGAGGAGGAGGAGGAGGAGGAGGAGGAGGAGGAGGAGGTGGAGAGGACGAGGAGAAGGAGGAGGAGAGGAGGAGGAGGAGGAGGAGGAGGAGGAGGAGGAGGAGGAGGAGAGGAGGAGGAGGAGGAGGAGGAGGAGGAGGAGGAGGAGGAGGAGGAGGAGGAGGAGGAGGAGGAGGGGGAGGGGGAGAAGGAGGAGGAGGAGGCAGGGGCGGAGAGAGAGAGAGAGAGAGGCGGGGTGGATGCGTGCGAGGGCCAAGTCGGGCAGGTGCCCCTACAGGCCGCTTTGGGGCGAAGAGTAAGAAACAATGCCAAAACCAAATACCCCCCAATGGTGAACAAAAAAAAGCTCGAAATATAGTCCCCTGACTATTTTTGAATTTTCCCCCTGTAGAGGGACAGGCCCGACTTAATGCATTGGCGGGCACTCACGCCGCCGCCGCCGTCGCGTGAACGGCCATCGTGAAGCCCGTGCCCCAGAGGCAGGGAAGCGGGAGGACGGGGGACCCGCGAGGGAGGACCCCGGCTCGAGCTCGAGCAGATTCCTGCCCGGAGGCAGCGCCGGCCGGGGCGACGCGCCGATCAGGCTGCCCCGTCGCTCTCCGAGGCAGGAGACGTCACGACGTGCCCTCACTGTGCGACACTCGTACCAGGACGCCTTGCTCCGGAGGACTCCGGAGCGCGGGGGAGAGGGGAGGAGAGCGGGGAGGGCAGAGGGGCAGGTGGCGACGCCACGGCAGGCACTCCGAGCACTGGGCGCCTCCGAAGGCCTCCGACGGGGCCCTGGGGACGGGCCTCTGGAGGCCCCGCGCCTATCCGAGGAGGGCGGACGTGGGAGACGGGCACGACTCCAGCTCCGGTCCCAGCTCCAACCTTTCCTCCGGCCCAGCTCCCGCTCCAGCTCCAGCCCCAGCTCCAGCCCGAGCTCCAGCCCCAGCCCCTGCCTCGGGATCTGGCCCCAGCTCCAGCTCGAAGCCCAGCTTCGCGTCCAGGTCCAGGAACAGCTCCAGCCGAGCTCCTGCCCCAGCTTCCATTCCAGCTCCAGCCGCAGCTGCAGCCCCAGCTCCAGCTCCAGCTCCAGCTGCTGCCCCAGCTCCATCTCCAACTCAGCTCCATCTCCAGCCCAGCTCCAGCTCGAGCTCCAGCTCCAGATCCATCCCAGCTGCAGCTCCGCGTTCATCTCCAGCCTGCCGCCCTCTCGAAGACCACCCTGTTCAGGTTCTGCCTGTTGTCGAGGTCGCATGTCCCACATTGCTTGGCCCAGACTTCGTAATTGATCTTGCCCAATTTCCATTGAAGAGTGCAGATTGCAAACCATGACTTGCATATCCCAGCTAGCATGCTCGAACACATGTTGCAGCTTCGTTTGCAAAGCACACGGCGTAGAACACAGCGCGTATTTACTCGCATGCGTTTCCCATTTGAGTCTCCACACATTGGCATACTGGCCTACTGGCTAACAAACGCAAATTAACCAAAACAAATAGTTAGGATTGTTCGTGGGGTCGGTTAGACCACAAGTTCGAAACTGTCTGATAACTACACGGATTGAGGGCCGCTCCTTTTCAAACTGGGGCTATCGCGCAAGACCTCGTCACAGATCATGTTACTCCCTCGTTCAATTTCCGCTGAACGCCAGACTCCCGCTTGAATGGCACGCCCATGAAACGATCGTCTGTCAAGGGGGCGCCTTCCGTAGTGAAACGGAACGCCTGTAGGAACTTGTTGAGAGGGGGCTGGGGCCTGAGGGCGTATCGCGGTATTGTTGTCGCGTCCTGGGTCTTGCTCTGGTCCTCCCTCCTCCTCCTCCTCCTCCTCCTCCTCCTCCTCCTCCTCCTCCTCCTCCTCCTCCTCCCCCTCCTCCTTATCCTCCTCCTCCTCCTCCGCACCTCCGCTCTGGAAAAGCATGGGGATAGGTGGGTATGTTCTGGCGATGGCCTGGGTTATCCGGTGGGGGGGGGGGGCGGAGGGAGGTGCCGGCCGATGGCCTCACTTTTCGCTTCGGGCAGCCCCGCGTGTGCCCGCGCGCACCAACACGGCGCACCCCTCTCGGACCTGCGCAAACCAAGACAAGGCCCGACGATCCACGGGGGGGGCGATGGTGTGTGTGTTTTGTGTTGTGTTTTTTTGTATTTTTTGTGTGTGTTTGTTTTTTTGTTTTTTTGTTGTCTTGTTTGTTGTGTTTGTGTATATTGTTTGTGTGTATGCGTGTGTGTTTTTGTTGTTTTTGTTTTTTGTTGTTGTTTTTGTGTGTGTGTGGGTGTGGGTGTGGGTGTGGGTGTGGGTGTGGGTGTGCGTGTGCGTGTGCGTGTGCGTGTGCGTGTGCGTGTGCGTGTGTGCGTGTGTGCGTGTGTGCGTGTGTGCGTGTGTGCGTGTGTGCGTGTGTGTGTGTGTGTGCGCGCGCGCGCGCGTGCGTGCGCGCGTGCGTGCGCGTGCGTGCGTGTGTGCGTGTGTGAGCGCGTGTGCGTGCGTGTGCGTGCGCGTGTGCGTGCGTGTG